TCATATATGTATATTAGAAATATTTTTTTTAATGGTTATATATCAAAATATTTATACAATAATTATATAATAATGTCTTACATTTTGATCAATATTTTGTCTTACAAATTTTATCATTATTTGTACCATTTCTTAGAAATATTTTCGCAACTAAACAATAATCTTAAAATAAACACGAATAATTTTATCTTTCTATTTCTCATTCTATTTCTCTATTCATTTCATATTGAAGAAAATTTCCAAATTTCCAAAAAACAATATTTTATCATTTTATCTATTTTGCACTATTTATATTTAAGATTACCAATCAACTCGAAATTTTTTTTCATATTCGATCAAAATGAAAATATTTTTCTGGGAATATATTACAAGTTGACTTGTTGTTTTAGTAAAAAAAAAATTTGAAAAATACATAAACTATTGTTAAGCTATTGGAGATACTCAAGCTGTGAAAATAAAAACCAATAGCCGATCTTCACAAACTCTGTCCTTAACAATAACTATAAAGAAATTTATATTGTCTTTTATTTTTCATTTTTCTTTGAAGATTTTTTTTATAAATAAATGATTTCGGGAATAAAATCAATTGGCCAGAACAAAAGAGGAAAAAATCTTTTATTATCTTTTATTTATTTATTTTATTTTATATATACACACATATTTAAATAGAAACTAAAAACATTGTAACAAGAGTCCCTAGAATGTATTACTAATGTAAATACATATATATAATAATAAAATGTAGGATAGTGACATACGAATGCAAAAGGTTAAAGTAATCTAATAGTATAATAATAATAAAATAATAATAATAAATTTATTTCTAAGATAAATTCTAATTGTTAAAGACAAAACCAAGACTTGTGAAACGGTTAGACAAGCGATTGGATTTTATCTTCAACAGCTCGAGTATTTTCAATAGTCTAACAGTAATTTACGAGCACATACAATTCGCTTTCGCTAACTTTCCAGATCCTCAATTTACAGAGATACATATAGCAGCATGGTCCCTTCACACTTGTACATCTAGTGCCTTGTGATAAATCACTGTGAAAACGAGTACAAGGATCTTAACCCCTACGCGAAGGGCAACTCCACGAAGGCCCATCTTTCGAAATCGTCCTTTTTAACGCGACTGTTCACGAGATTGTAAACAGACTTTGTTCGAGAAAGTTTCCTATGAAGATCCTTTCCATGACCAGCATGGAGCCAGGGCTAACAGACCTGAATAAAGAGTGATACTTCTGAAGTACTGTTTTTATGCGTTTTGGCATGGCCCGGTCGGTTTGGATCGATTCTTAAATAACACAGTTGACTTTGCGTGCTAACACCGCACTTTGTTTGAGGGATTAGGAAGGATACTGTACTGTTTGTTTGTCATGCGATCTTTGTATACAAGTCAACTCAGGCGTGGAATTTCTTTGTCCTTGGACTATATTGCGAAACGGGCACTACCCGCAATGTTATTGGTCATTGGCGTGCCCCACCAAGAAACTCCTGACCTTCCCAAGTAAGAGATTCAACTGAAGATACGATAATACTTAACTTCACTTCCAATAGAATCTCGTGATGATCAGGTCGTACGCTGACACTCGGTTATGACAATCAGCTAGTTGTGCAGCTTGTGTACAGATTGTGATTCGACCGTCGGACATGATCGCATTGCTGCGAATTTGTGAGAAATACTACTATCTAAAAATTAACACTCAGCAAAGTTAATGGTATATAATTCACACGTACGATTACGTTGCTTCGGGCACGAACAGTGACTATTAATTCCTCTAATTTTTCTCTCTTAATTTGTTTTAAAAAGAAAATGATTAAAAGAAAAATCAAGGCCTGCGATAGTCTTCTAGATCAGATCAATCAGAATAGAATAGAATAGAATATAAAAGATGAAGACATAAAATTCAGTAACGATACAGTTCGCATCAGAGTATAGTTAGAATTATTACAGTCATTAATCACTCGCAAATAGTTAAAATAAATCCTCATTTGTTCACTCAGAATTCATAATACAAAAGATTTAATAGTAATTCTTTAATAATAATATTATCAATTCAGGCATCCATTTGTGCAATATTCAAAGTCATTCAATTTAGACTTTAATACTGATAATTCTTTAATTAGAATTCAAATTTTTAATAGATATGTGATTAGTAGTTTTGAATCAATATCCACCATTAAACATATGCACATCTTTAATCTTATTTAATAATAAAAGAATAATAATCAGAATTTAGCTAATTTTATATTATCGATTAGTATCTATTAAACATAAATAATACAAAAATTTTATCCTTGTAAACAGAAAAATAAGAAATATTCAATTTGTTTTAAATTTTGGAACGAATCGGAGAACTTTTAAAAAATTAAATTTTCATAAAAAAATCTGCATTAATTTAAAAAAATATGATTCAATAATAATAAAGTCAACTGATAATGGAGAAGTAAAATAAATTTCTAAAATTTAGTTTTATCTTTTATTTTTTCAGTATATAATTTTTGATTGATCTTTTTTAATAATCATACAAATATTAAATAAAGAAAATGATATTAAATAAAAAAAACAAATGATATGATGCGATTAACATCATGTATAAGGATTTCGAAGTGAATAAGATATATATAGGCAAATTATAATAATTTAAAATATATAAAATATTAAACTTGAACATCGACATAAATTAATTAATAATAATAAGTACATTTGAATTTTTAAACTTATCTTTTTATTTTAAATATGAAATTTCAAATTATGTATCTTAGATTTATTTGAAACAGTAATTGATAAATTAATAATTAGATGGAAAGAAATGAAGTATGCTTACTTTGAATACTTATTTCCATACAAATATGGATTGAATTTTTATTTTAATTCAATTCGCCTCTTCTTATGAAATCTATTTTTCATAAGAAAATTTCTAAGTTAAAAAAAGCTTAAATTAATAAAAATTTTTGACATTAAATCTACTGGTTCTGTATAGTTGATGGTTCTGTATAGTTCTGTATATTTATTTCTACGCGCTCGCTTAAAATGACCAATGCTTAAAAAAGTTATCGTTTTTATGATTTAATTAGTAGATAATGGTTAATTTATTATTGAATGTATATAAAATGAAGAACTTTCATAAAATTTTGTTCAAATTTATTTTTATATAATTTCAATTATAAACTTAAAAAACCAAAACTTCGTTTTTCCTATATAATATATTTCTGAAAGATTAGTTTTCAATGTGTCTAATTAATAAACCAAATTTTACAATATGCATATCTAAAATTATTTATGGAAAAAAATAAAATTTAACTTTTATTTATAAAAGATATATCTTATTCAGCTTCGTTGCATTTTTTACAAATTATTTTATTTTCAAATGTATATTTGCCACATACATATTTTTCGCATTCTAACAAATTTTCGTAGTTTTGTAATCTTTACAATATTTTACTTGACAAATTTTTCGTACATACGAATCTTAATTTGATAGTTTTAATACATGGTTTTCTTCTCGCGATTCTTGATACCCAACGCCGAATTCTGTAGCTAATTAGAATAAAAATGGCTTGAAATATTTTCACCTGTTATTTCTTTATACAAAACCCAGACATTTATTCTAGCTAAGTTTAAAATGTTGAAAAATATTTGGAGAGGCCACCTACAAGATTTTGACTTCATACTGTATTTTTTTGCCATTTGGCCCATCACGTCTACACCGAATTTTGTATTATTATAAAAGCTAATCGCTTCTGGTATATGTTTGTTACTTTTTTCGATTTTTATTGATTTATACGCAACTTAGCACAAGCATTTTTTTTTGTTGGTTTGCTTTTATACACTGTAAGAAAAATATGATTTGATCTACATCAGTCTCACTTATGGATGTCAACAATAATCTCTTTCTTTTTTGCTCTAAACGTGGACACTTATTTATAATATTCTTCTCTTCATTATTGCTATCTAACTTTAATTCTCTTGTTGTAAATAGCTCTTCATCTGTTTCCATGTTGTTTTTAGTTAGGGAAATTTCTTGTTCATCGCATACTGAACAGTTTTCTTCTATGTCCGTTATTTGTTTTAATAACTCCATAATTTTGGAACGCCTTGACATTTTTATGGTAAATATTCACCACAGAATATCACACCATATACGAAATACAAAATTCATGTCAAAGTTTTATTGCTTTACTTTTTCTTTTTCAAAAACTGTACACGAAATACTCTGCGATGCTTTCTTCTTGAGTTTATATTGTTATATGTTATTATTTGTTATTGTTATTAGTTATTATTTGTTATTATTTGTTATTACTACTTTCAATTATCCGATTTTGAGATAATCTTTTCTTTATACTGATTGTATATATTGAAAAGAGTAAATAAAATATTTTATCGATCGTGATGGCAGGACAAAGTACAAATGTTTCTTAGAAAGAAAAAAAAAATTAAAAATAAATACTGAAGAAATATATTGTATGCATATTTTAGGAAAAGTCATAAAGTTTGATAGTGATATAATAACTTTAAATATGTTTAAATATGTATAAAAATTTGAAAGCGATTAATTTGACCGTTCTGGTAGATTTAGTGTCGCTAATATATAAATTTTATTATATTCGAAAAATTATTTTTCATATTGTTAAATGATACAATTGAATTCTTACTCACTACTGGATTGCATGACATTACAGATAATTAATTCGAGATATTATATTGGTTAGCGGGACAAAAACTTCTTTTTTCTTTTCAAAAATATTGGAATTCTTCCAGTTTTTCCTCTAAACTATAAAAATTAAAATAAAAACAGGAACTTTTTTAAAAAATAATTTAATACAAATTTTCGAATTTTATTGAAATTCAAAAAGCTAATACAACGTAAATGTAATGTAAACAAATGATCAGATTCTTTTAATTCGAGATATAAGCTTTCATAATAAAATGTAACCACAATTCCTTGTCATTATTTTATTAATTAAAATATGGATTCATACATTCTCTGTTTCAGGTATACTACAAAATATTCTGCGCGGCGCGTAGGATAGTCCTGGAAGAAAGAAGGGCGCAGAGCCATTTAGAAGCACACTGTTACTTCGACATAGAGCCAACAGTGCAACAGCATCAGCCAGTGACTGTGAACCGTCAATTAAATTCCGATGTGCAGACAGGACATGGTAGTCCACCCGTAAAGCAACATCGAAGTTCGAGCGCCTCGACCACGGTGAGTAGCAACATTAATTTTAACCGATAAATCTCGCTCTTCTTCTGTTTATGATCCTTTCAAGGGCTGCCGATTAAATCATGATCAATTCGCCCTTCGTATCTTTTAATCACAAATTAATATAAATGTTACGCATGCATCATTCTATTCGAAACAGGTTAAATACAATGCTATTTTTGCAACGATAAAACGTTTTAATTATTAAAACGTTTTAATTAATTGTCTTTCTCGTTTAACAATTAGTATTCTCTATAACAAGATATATACTTTTTTGTACTATGAGAAAAAAATAATTAATTGTTAATCGATTGATTGTAGTTTTGAATATACAAGCTTGGAATCTCTATGAGTGTGATCTATGAAATTTAAAAATTCGAAAAAAGAAATATCAAATTATGTAATGTAGAAAAATTTTTCTCAAGTCATTTTTAGCTTTTAGTATTTGGATTTTTGCTCATTTTAATCTTTTTTGCTATCCGCATCAATTTTTAAAAATGAGACATAACACATAGTGACGTTCAAATATGTCAAATAAAATGTTAAATATGTCAAACCGTTGAAAAAAATTTAATACTGACTTTATTTGACTCATAGTTGTTTCTTTTAAATTAAATTTCGCTCAATTAAATCGTAAAAGTCACTTGCTCAGATAAGCATTCTGATTTTATCGAGATAGTGGATAATAAAATGCTATATCAATTTGAATAAAAGAAATTCAATACGATTAAACGTTGAGTTTTCTTGATTGAACCGATTAAGAAATAAGATTCTTAATAAAATTTGAAAATAATTTCTATTTCTATACGAAGATAAATGTAAAAAGAATTCTACTATATGGTTAATTTTTTATATATTCATAATATTTTGATATCGACTATTATCAAAATTAGAACATTTATTCCTTATATATTTGAATATTTGAATATATGTTATATTCAAATATGTATGTATATCTATATATACGTGAAATATCGTATATTCATATAATACCATAAAATGCATATTACGTATATGTGCAATTGCATTCATCGTTTAAAATATTCAGATATATGATGCTACTGAATCATAATCAACATACGATATTATACACGGAGACTTTAATAATTAAGGGAGAAACATGTTAAATATCTCGAAACATTTAATGGATATTAACAGAAATATGATGAAAAATGACATTTGGAATATACATATTCATATTAAGCAATAGATATAATATAAATACGCAATAGATACATATATAGTGAACAAAATAATTTTCGATAAAAAATTTTGTGATTTAAAATTAATAAATATTTCTTTTAGTTTCAAAACCACGATTGCAACCTTTTTCTCCGCTTCTTATTTTTTATTTTATAATCTGGATATATATTTGACGTAGAACGAATCTGCTATGATTTAATAATGTTAGATAAATGAATAACATTTTTCTATAAGAATTTTTCTTGCAAATATAAATAGTTCTTGCGTAATTGCAAAGCATTACGATCTATCAATTTGGACATTGATAATTTTTATCGAAAAAAATTTTGTTGAATATTATATTACCATACAATAATCTTATCAGAATTAATTTTCGTAAAATAACCGCTTAAAAAAAATCTCTGATAAGGTTCAAATCATCGTATTCACTATATACAATAATTCCGCAAAATGGTCGCAATTATTACGAATAATAATTTCATGTTTCATAAGAACGAATATTGATAAGATGGCAATCAATCGTTATCACTCTCTCTTCATGTATCGTGACTACTGAATTTCATTATTTTCAATAGGGTAAAAGGATATCGAAACTTGCTCCAGAATGGCGATTACGCAGTTATCATGATGCACGCGAGCATAATAATCATCGAAAGCGTGCAATTTTGCCAATCTACCAACTGGAACATCGCGCGTGTTGGAAAACAAAAGAGTTGAATTCCCGAATCTCTGCTGGACGCAATCGTACGTTTGTCGACGATTTAATGAGCGACGATTTCGCGATCGTCCGCCGCAAATTAGGTAGGCAAACTTTCCGCGTGAATCCGTGTGGCTGCAGGCAAAATAACACCGATAAACTATTCCCGTTTCACATTTCAACACTGTTTAACAATCGCGATTTTGCCGAGTTGTTGAGTTTATAGGTGGGGTTTATATAGGTGAATCGCCAATACAAATCTCTCGAGAATTTGATTTGAGTCAGTGAATAAAGAGAAGCTGGAAAATATCATGAAATTGTTTGCTTTTGGTTGAAAATTGTTTAAATATGATTTTGTTTCCATTTCAAAATATTAAAAAATTTTAAACATGATAGAAAGTTATTAGAATTTTTGAGAATTCTATGAAAATTTTCATTTTCAAAAAAATAGATCAAAGAATTGCTAATTACAAGTTATTACTTACGATTTGATACTATATTTTTATTTTATTTTTAATCCTTCCAGTTTTAAAGTTGTAAAAAAGAAATAATCTTTTATAATAATAATTTAATTAATTTAAGAAATTAATGAATCCGTTATTGATTAGTGAAAATGTTTTATCAAGTCTTGTTCATGTGTTTTGATCTTTTGAAAAAATCTTATTAATCTTATTATTTTATTAATAGGGTTGAAATTGAAATTTAAATGATTTTGGAACCAAAATTTCAATATAATGTATAATAAAAAAAAAAAGAATGCTGATAATATTTTTTATTTTATTTCCCTTATTACGCTTATTGATTTCAAACTGGAATTGATCCCTACCTGGCATGGCAAAGATTGTTGAAAAAAGTTGGACACTATTCAAGATCGGCATACGATCAATGCGGAATACTGCAGACAAACTAGGATATTATAAAATATTTGCCAAAGCAAAATTCAAAGATTTAATTGAGATTATTTATGTACAATTCCATTTCACAAATTAATATATAGAATGTTTATACAAATCTGATATTTTAAATACCAAAACGAAAAAAAAAAATTTATACATACATATACTTAAGATCTAATTACGAGTTATAAATAGTGTTCTGATTGAAATATTATTCAATATTATTTAATATTCGATATTAAAATATTAATCAAAGTATCAAAGTTTTAATTTTTAAATACTTGGTATCATTTTTCAATATGAATATCTCTTAAAACGATATTAACTAATACCAAGTCAGACTGTGAATATCAGACAGTTTTTAATTTGATACAGTATTAGTTTGATATCGTTTTAAAAGATATCGATATCGAAAAATGATACCAAGTATCTAAAACTTTGATACGTATCGATATTGAACGGAAATTTTTATATTCGTATTGGTAAATTCGATACTAATATCAGTTCTAATAATAGTTGTAAACTGTTACTACTAGTTGTATTAGATAAAGTGAAACGGTAGAATAGAGTGAGAACGTTAGACATGCAATAGTACCATATAGCACTACCTCTTGTATAACACAGCACCTCAAAAATCAATATGTCAATATCACTATAGATAATAGAAATACAATAGAAATATACAAATGACTATTTCTAAATTTCAAAGGAAATTTCGGAGAAATATAACATATAATATATTATAAATATCATGTAATTTAATATACTATTATATATACTACTATTATATTACTAGAAAGAAGTATTACGGAAAGAATGCGGATTTGATTTGAAAAATAGGAGAGGAATGTCTGTTTTCGCATATATTTTTGTTTCTAGCGTACTATTTTATCAACAACATGGACAAACATATTAATTCGATTAATAGAAAAGAGCAATAAGATTTACTGAAATAATGAGATGCAATCTTTCATATGATTTCATAATTGAAAATAATCACGTTTTGTTTGTAAATAAAATCCTTTTTTCATGATTTTAAATATTTAAGAAAAATATAGAATGTGATATCAGAAGGCCAAACTCATAATGTCAAAGATAAAGATAGACAGTTCTAGCGAAGAAGTAAACAATAATTATATAATGTACTTATATTATTTTAAAAAAAGAAAAATTTTATCATTTTTTATAATGCAAATTGAAATCTATTTAAATAAGTAAATTAAAATAATTTAAAATAGATGAATCATTATGACACTTGATCTGCTTACTTAAAATCCATAGAAGAAAATTAAAACACACTCCAATAATAATATATCTATTATGAATTGCAAAATGTATTTTTCTATAAGCTTACTTCTTTCAATTATTTTCATATGTACAAGAGTCATTTGAATTATTGAATTTGAATTTCACAGATTACTGAATATAAGTCAATGATAAATTTTTATCTTTATCTGATTCAATGTTTTTTATTATGACATGAGATTATTAATATTATAATAAAAAATAATAAATATCGAAATTGAATATTATATTAATAAAACTCAATATCACATATTACTACAATAAAAAATACATATTCATACATATTCAATATTATATTCATATTTATTATAATTATTCTATCTATATTTAATTCAAATCTACGGATTATAAAAAACATATGTATAAAAAAAGTAAGCATCGTGGCTATCATAGTATAATTTTATATCTTTAGATCGATAAAAATTTTATTGGAAAAATCTTTACATAAATTTTCAAGATTTTTATTGTATCATATAATATTCAATAATATTATCCAAGAAATAGTTAATATTCATTCCAAGAAACAAAAATCTTAAAGAAATAGGTCATAGGTCGCAAATGATCGTTTCTTTGAAAAATGATTCAAAAATTTCGTAAATTGTTTTCTTCAATATGTTTATATTTTTATTGAACTATTGCAATGTAAATAATACATGATATACACGATAGACATGAATAATATATGATTAATACACTAATTACACATTACTAATTACACATTAGCTTGCAAAATATGTATAAATTCAATAAGGAAAACAATTACGTTAAAAAAAATATCAATTCAATTCTTCCATTAGTTAAATCAACAATTTATTAATCAGAAATTAATGTTTAGAGATTAGAATTTTCACAGTGAAAGAGGAACAGACTATCATTGCTTTCAATAATAGCTCGATAAATAA